CCACGTATAGAGTCGTCTCTGCGAAAGAATTTCAATCACAGTATAGAAAGTTGAATGACGCTTGGACCACGATAGCTAAATCTGCGGGACTCGACGACAGGTTTATAAGCAGGTTAAAACTCAGGTCTCCAAGCTGTCCAGTGTTTTATAGCCTTGTTAAGACGCACAAGCTTTCCTTGCGGGACATGAGTTCAATGTCAGCGGACACTTACAAAATTAGACCGATTATTAGTTGCGTAGGCGGTCCCACCGATCGAATTTCGTGGTTCTTGAACAAAATTGTGAGCCAACTGCTACCCAAAGTACCAGCGCATTTATCCAGCTCGCGTGATTTTATAGAAAAGCTTCGAAGCGCCAAGTTTGATTCGAGCACTGTAGTCGAGTCATTCGATGTGACTTCGCTCTACACTAATGTGCAGAACAACCAGGCCTTGCAAGCGCTCTCAGAGATGTTGGATAAATATGCCACTACCATCAATACTTTTGGGCTTGGCAAAAGGCGGACGATGACCCTAGTGAGCGAATGCTTGAAATGTAACATCTTCAGATGGTCTGGGACGTACTACTCCCAGATACGCGGATTGGCTATGGGTCAGAGGCTAGCCCCTGTCCTCGCTATTTGCTTCATGAGTAAAATCGAGGAACCGGTGCTAGCCCGCATGCCGCTGATGTACTGCCGTTACATCGATGATTGCTGTATATTTACGTCCACACAGTCCGAAATGGACAAGTGTTTCGAAATTCTCAACCAGCAGTCGCAGTACATAAAGCTCACACGAGAGATACCGCACGACGGATGGCTCCCCTACCTCAACGCACAGGTCAAATTGTCCAATGGCATTGTTAGCATGAAGTGGTACCGCAAGGAAAGCTCAAAGAACATCCTTATCAATGTAAGATCTGCGCATCCTGCATCTACGAAACGAGCAGTGATCGGGAATATGTTCAGAACAGCTATGCAGATGTGCTCCGGAGAAAGAGAACGATGCGAGTCACGAAGTTTAGCCTCTCAGATTGCTTGCAGCAATGGTTACCACTGTCTACCGCGTATGCAACATCACGCAAATGGTGACCACATTCGTGATAATAAGCTTCCACTGTGCCTGCCATTTATCTCCGATAACATCAGTGCGGCTTTTCGAAAGTGCATCATACGCGCACAACTGCAAGACGATGTTGTCTTAGTGAACATCCCAAACGACAATATCAAAAAGCAGTTGGTTCGAAACAGACTTTACGATCGATACTGTATAACAGAAAGATGCGTAGTCTGTCCGTACGGTAGAATAGGTGACTGTGCACAAGTGGGAGTGGTTTATCAATTGAAATGCCTTAGCTGCAATGCTCTCTATATTGGCGAAACTGGAAGATCACTTAGTACTCGCATAAACGAACATCTGACAGATAAAAGGCGTAAAACCCTGTTATCACCTTTGGGCAGGCATAGGAACGAAGCGCATGGTGGTGCCGATTTCGATATAAAGTGCGAAATCTTAACCTATGAGAGGGAAACCTCGGCTAGGAAGGCGCTGGAAGCATTCTGGATCTCTTCAAAGAATCCAGCAATGAACAATAAGAATGAATGTTTGTCAGTCACCAACGACTTTCTTCCATTCTTATCGATATGCAATCTATAGATCACATGCTATGTGCATTTATAGTATAGTTTAGTCCTTCCGCCAAGACCATCACTTCCGGTGCGGAAACTGACATAGCGGTGTTCTCAACGGTATGTTCATTTTCTGGCGCTGACAATTTTTGCGGTAGGGATGTTGAGCGAAGATCGAGAACTAGCAGGAATGTGGATGGTGCTTGATGGCCTCTTTTCACAGATGACGCTTTGAGCCATTTTCAGGCCTCTGAGGAAGACGAAAGGCGTCGAAACGTTAGGCCTTGATTGGAATAAAGAACACCTACCAAACCTGTCTGGCACAGCAGTACTGAAGAATATTAGCGATGCCGAGGTTTAAGGAAAGTGGAACTTTTAAACTATTAGAAGATTTACCGCCGACAATGTTCCGCTTGACACGTGAAACGCTGTCGCTTCGACAAAAAGCGATAGCTCTTCGCCAATCCTTGATATTCCTCCGACGTTGCAAGAGAACGAACGTGTTGCCCACTTTCATCAAGGATAAGAGACTAGGATACACTTGCGCTCTCGATGAAGATGATCCGAGGATAGTGAAGATTTATCAAGCTATCTTGAATGTCATCATCAAAGAAAAACAGAGACTGTTGTATTCTACCTTGTTGAAATGTTATGCAAAAGAACAAGCTTGTAAACGTCTCTTGCCTTGTGAACGTTGGAGGAGGATTGAGGATGGTTCAAAGCTAATCTGTGATTCGATTCGATCTAGGATCAAAATCAAACTCCGTGCAAAGTACGATCGACTCTTGACTGATCTCTGCAAAAATTGTTCATGTAACAGAAATAACATTACCGACCACCGCTGTCAAGGACATGCATATCAGAATGAAGTTACATCGAGGGTCACGGTGATTGGGAACATTCCATTATCTTCCAATGTCATCGAGCTTCTTAGCCTTGGCCCTTCCTTCTCTCCTGCGCAGAATGTCAACTCCGCGACTTGTCGCAAAATAGTAGGAAGCCTGCACAAACTCAGAGACACTTTAAGACTACGCAGCAAATGCAAAAATGGTCCAACAGCAACAGCTCGCGATGCCAACAGCTTACTACCCTCAATTCCTTTCCCGCAGTCGTTCTACAGACAACCTGCTCCCGTCCCTGAGGTAGACATCAAGTTCCGTCTCTTATGTTCTGGTGTTCTCGAAGTTCTAAATAGAGCGAAACATCAACATCAGACTAACCTGACACCTGGACAGTGGCAGGGTTTCAAAGAGATACGTGAACTCGTATCTAACGGTTCGGTGCGATTGTCTGTAAGCGATAAAGGCGGCGAATTCGTAGTAATGCCTCAAGAGTTGGATAGACGAATAACAGCAGCTCATCTGGCTGACACCACCACGTATAGAGTCGTCTCTGCGAAAGAATTTCAATCACAGTATAGAAAGTTGAATGACGCTTGGACCACGATAGCTAAATCTGCGGGACTCGACGACAGGTTTATAAGCAGGTTAAAACTCAGGTCTCCAAGCTGTCCAGTGTTTTATAGCCTTGTTAAGACGCACAAGCTTTCCTTGCGGGACATGAGTTCAATGTCAGCGGACACTTACAAAATTAGACCGATTATTAGTTGCGTAGGCGGTCCCACCGATCGAATTTCGTGGTTCTTGAACAAAATTGTGAGCCAACTGCTACCCAAAGTACCAGCGCATTTATCCAGCTCGCGTGATTTTATAGAAAAGCTTCGAAGCGCCAAGTTTGATTCGAGCACTGTAGTCGAGTCATTCGATGTGACTTCGCTCTACACTAATGTGCAGAACAACCAGGCCTTGCAAGCGCTCTCAGAGATGTTGGATAAATATGCCACTACCATCAATACTTTTGGGCTTGGCAAAAGGCGGACGATGACCCTAGTGAGCGAATGCTTGAAATGTAACATCTTCAGATGGTCTGGGACGTACTACTCCCAGATACGCGGATTGGCTATGGGTCAGAGGCTAGCCCCTGTCCTCGCTATTTGCTTCATGAGTAAAATCGAGGAACCGGTGCTAGCCCGCATGCCGCTGATGTACTGCCGTTACATCGATGATTGCTGTATATTTACGTCCACACAGTCCGAAATGGACAAGTGTTTCGAAATTCTCAACCAGCAGTCGCAGTACATAAAGCTCACACGAGAGATACCGCACGACGGATGGCTCCCCTACCTCAACGCACAGGTCAAATTGTCCAATGGCATTGTTAGCATGAAGTGGTACCGCAAGGAAAGCTCAAAGAACATCCTTATCAATGTAAGATCTGCGCATCCTGCATCTACGAAACGAGCAGTGATCGGGAATATGTTCAGAACAGCTATGCAGATGTGCTCCGGAGAAAGAGAACGATGCGAGTCACGAAGTTTAGCCTCTCAGATTGCTTGCAGCAATGGTTACCACTGTCTACCGCGTATGCAACATCACGCAAATGGTGACCACATTCGTGATAATAAGCTTCCACTGTGCCTGCCATTTATCTCCGATAACATCAGTGCGGCTTTTCGAAAGTGCATCATACGCGCACAACTGCAAGACGATGTTGTCTTAGTGAACATCCCAAACGACAATATCAAAAAGCAGTTGGTTCGAAACAGACTTTACGATCGATACTGTATAACAGAAAGATGCGTAGTCTGTCCGTACGGTAGAATAGGTGACTGTGCACAAGTGGGAGTGGTTTATCAATTGAAATGCCTTAGCTGCAATGCTCTCTATATTGGCGAAACTGGAAGATCACTTAGTACTCGCATAAACGAACATCTGACAGATAAAAGGCGTAAAACCCTGTTATCACCTTTGGGCAGGCATAGGAACGAAGCGCATGGTGGTGCCGATTTCGATATAAAGTGCGAAATCTTAACCTATGAGAGGGAAACCTCGGCTAGGAAGGCGCTGGAAGCATTCTGGATCTCTTCAAAGAATCCAGCAATGAACAATAAGAATGAATGTTTGTCAGTCACCAACGACTTTCTTCCATTCTTATCGATATGCAATCTATAGATCACATGCTATGTGCATTTATAGTATAGTTTAGTCCTTCCGCCAAGACCATCACTTCCGGTGCGGAAACTGACATAGCGGTGTTCTCAACGGTATGTTCATTTTCTGGCGCTGACAATTTTTGCGGTAGGGATGTTGAGCGAAGATCGAGAACTAGCAGGAATGTGGATGGTGCTTGATGGCCTCTTTTCACAGATGACGCTTTGAGCCATTTTCAGGCCTCTGAGGAAGACGAAAGGCGTCGAAACGTTAGGCCTTGATTGGAATAAAGAACACCTACCAAACCTGTCTGGCACAGCAGTACTGAAGAATATTAGCGATGCCGAGGTTTAAGGAAAGTGGAACTTTTAAACTGTTTTTTTATAGTTTATCCTAAAAGATTAGTTTTGAATGGTAAGATCATCATTTACCTTTCCAACAGTGTTTAAAAGAAGATGAAGTGCAGCAGGATCATGAACAAGGGAGTCCGTCCAAATTTGTCGTTGTAGCTCCCGCGGATTAACGGAACAATCGGTGGCACATAGATCGGGACGTACCTAAATAGCTTGTCTCAATGATTGAGGCCCACCTAACTTATGCTTAGCATAAAATGTAGGTAACAAAAGTGGATAACTTGCTTCCAACCGTGGATGACTGCCAGTAACTCAAGCACATCCTTCACTTGTTGGCGCAAAGAGGGCACAGTGAAGCCCCACAGAGCCGTTTTCAAATAACATTTGCACAAAAATAGTTAACTCTATTCAAAAATTCTAAAGCCGTTACTGCTTTTATTTCCTTCATGATATCTCCTGGACCTAATAGATTATTTAATGCATCATCGAGCTAAGCTATCACCAAAGAGCGAAGCGAAAAAAAATCACAAAAATTCGCAAACCTTGTAACCATGCGAAACTCGTCCGCTGATGATTGGATATGCACCTCCGCCGTGAGCGAAACAAAATCGAAGTCGTGGGAACATCACTAGTATGTTTCCCATAAGTATGCTACATATAGCTTGAGCAGTTTCTGACGGCATTCCTAGGAAATCATTATCTCAACGATCTGATGACTTCGCATTTTTTCGAATCACAACTGTTTTTTGATGAAATTCCATGAAAAAGTTTTTTGTTTGAAAGCAGAACATGCGTTTTACAGCGTTGTCCTTGATGCGAATTTTTATGAGAAAGTGCGAGATAAAGGAAGTTTGAGACTACACAAATTAGGATTTTTCCAACCAGGATCATGAGAAAAATCGAAAGCAATTTTTTGGAGAAAAGTATGCGGCATTACCGCAGTCATGAAAATTTTGAGAAAATACAGAGTTAAAGGCGAACGAAGAAAATCCGTCAGGAAGGCTTTTTGCAAGCAATGTCACTCTAAATAGATATAGGTATTTCTTATATAAAGTGGTTAGTTTCTATGTGAAAGCATGAGGTTGAATTTTATTTTTTGCCATATACCAGTCTTGAGTAATTTTCTTCATTTGTTTCTACCGTCGAGTCATTCGTAACTTAATAAGCGTAGTGCACACTATACACGCTGACTGACGAACTGCAAAACTAAAAGCTGCTCATTTCCTGCGATTTCACTTTGTTTGCTTTTTTGTTTTTGTTTGTCATATGTTAGCCAGTAGAACACAATTCTACACTTCTTTAGGCTAGAGAATATCTCACTGGACAGTTACTAGCAGGGGTGCCGTCGCTAATAGGACATAGTGTGCAGTCTCACATACTAAGTTACAAATGCTGGAGGTCACCCTCTAAAATTTATTTGTACTAATTTGAACTAACTCACATCAACAGCAATGCTGTAAATTGCATGGTTGAGAAAGGTGCAAATAAGCTTTTGGACCAATGTGATATTTTAGCATAGCACTTTGCATGGCATTAAATTTGCCATGTTTTCTGTCCAATCTGCTCAAACTCCTTCAGATAATTCAGCATTTGGGTGTACTCGATAGAGCAAAGCAAGTTCTGTAAGGGGCCTAACATTAGCAGAAAGTTATGCAAGTGTTCGTAGCAAAAATTCAAAATTTTTTTCACGACTGGACCTCCGGTCCAAGTCCTTTGCTCTTGCTTAAACCGTCCGCAAATCCAGTCGAAAACAATGTAGGCCAATATCCCCTTCTAAGATTTTCATGTTTCCAAGGCTCCTGAGCACTATACAGACCACGAAGGCGGAAGAGCCAAATGCGAATATCATCGGAAGTTAGTTTGATGCAAAAGCATGGTGAAGCGATGCGATGATGGTGGACATTCGGTCGTCGCAGTAATTTATTTGGTATTACACCAACCTACGAGCCATGGCATCCAGTACTTATCAAGGCGGCCGTCCCAACTGTGCATATCCCAAGGATGAACGAAGAGCAGAACTCCGAGTTCTTCGCAATCCTAAGAAACTGAGGGGAATAGGGATACTGACATTCATAGTGTGTGCAAGGGCAGAAGTTGAAAATCAAGTGAAATGTACAGAAGGTCTGCTCACTCTCACAAAATCGTGTAATTTTTAAAAGTAAAACTCGCGGAAAAAAGTACAGGAGAGTTCACTTTGTTATAAATAATACTAATAGGTTGATTTTTGGGTCTCGCACGAGAATTTGTAGTTTCTACGGATTTGTTCGATTCAATAAGACTTGGGCAGAGAAAATCATGCATTTTCTAATAGTGTTCAAGGCAAGAACCCATATCGACATACCGCTTGATAGATACAAGCTGATTAGGAAGGGGAAAAGTCGTAATTTTGACTTTTGATCTTAGGAGGTACAAAAAATGTAATTTCATTTTTAATCGTGATTTACTCACTCTTTTGTAAGAAATTTGCGGTGACTGGAGTGATTTCAACCTTTTCAGTCAGCTAATTCGATTTTGTTGCTAATGAAATTTCTAAAATGCCTAATAGTTAAATAAAGCAGTTATTGAAGATCTCAAGAAATAGAAAATATTCTGAAACGCTGTTCGAAATGCATTTTAGTTTTGGCATTTTTTGGTCAAGACTTATGAATCGACCTAATAGATGGATTAGTCAAACTGTACTCTAACACTGAATAGTCATGTGTTCAAACTTTGTTAATTTTCAGATCGTGTCAGAGGGAGGAAGGGGGGGGTCTGTCTACTCCAAAAAATTGCCGAATGCTCTCACCTTATATAAGGGCCAGAAATCCTTGTGATCAAGGCTTTTCTTACCGATGTGAGAACCGATCTCAAAACCGCGAAAGCCTAAGCTAACGCATCGACGAAGTTCCTGAAAATGAAGCAGGATTAGGTGGCCTCTTAGTACTTCATGGCCGGAGCATCATTTCTGGTCATAATACTCCGTACATATCGAGTTTGCATTATTTTACAATCAGAGACGTCCTTGTCGAAAACATATGCAGTACTTTCGCCTGGTTTTTCCATTGTTTCTAGTCTTTGGTTTGGTTTTCTAGTCTTTAGTTTCGACAGCCGAATTGTCAAAAACTTATACACTTACAGTAACTTGCATGCGGAATCTATGTGACCAATCGTTCTATGATCTTGGACTAATTATCCCTGAGATAATTAAGAGATACCAGCTTTGAATATTGTTTGCAAAAGAGTCGACTGCCAGAATTAGCACAAATGACTGAGCATTGTAACAAATCTCACCGTGCAATACCGCTCATGATTAGTCAAAAAAGTCACCGCACTCCACCTGATTTCACCGACATCCGCGTCGCATCGCCATAACTTGGATTAAAATGGACGATTCTCGAATCTAAAGACATCGTTAAACTCAGCTCGGTGAGTGCATCTTCTGATACATGGAATTGCCCGTTTAGTCACAGTGGTAGGTCAGATTTCAGAATCGTTGTATACTTTTGCTCATGGTAGGCACTTAGTGAGTGCACAATGCTTAAACACACTGACTAACCTATCATAGGCAAAAACCGGAAACGATTAGTGAAATCTGACCTCCTACTGCATACAAACATCCAATCAGGCTTAATACGTTTCTATATATCAGGAAATGCTCACTGAGCTCGAAAGGTGCCCTTAGATTCAAAATTAGTCCACTCAAATTAATAGATGGCGATGCGACGGAGTGGTGAACTCCTGTGGAGTGTGGCACTTTTTCTGAGGCTTCAGTGTTTTGTATCACTATGCACGTGCGAGCCCTTTTTCAGGGTCATTGTTTCTGAACAGGGATTAACGAAGTGATGACAAAGATATGCAAAGATTAGTGTTGAAGGGGTTTTGATGCAGGAAAGGGTAGTAGAGTATTAACTTGTCTTCTTCGTGCTAGAATTCTTTATTGCGCCAGGTCAAAATCGAGCTCAATGACAGAGGCTGGTTATGCATCTCCTATAGCTTCGTTGATACTAACTAGATATTCTACAGATATTTAAAAAATACTCGAGCGGATAGGGAAGGTGGGAGGCTGAGGGAGGATAGAAGGCCTATTTCCCTCAGTTGAATATATTTTCGCGACCCGAGGCTTAAGTTATGTGTGCTAGCTATGCGATAAGCCTAAATGTTCCCAGCGACTATTTTCTTTGATTTCCGCTATGAATCCCGACTTGGCAGATTTTCACTAGAATATGCAAGTAATCGCGTGAGATCGTCGCATTCTCGTAACTAAACATTTCCGGGAAGCAAAGACAGAGACGAGATATTTATATATTTGGACTTTGAAGTTTGAAGATTTTGCTTGTTTCGATAAATTCAAATAAGGTGAAAAAAGTGTTAATGGCTCAGTTCAAAATACACGGTATTGAAAAATTTGTCGTACGGTAGCCCATAAAGTGGAGAAAAAAGTATAATATTTTGAATACGAAATGGATAGCAAAGAATGGAGATTTCGTAGAAAATTAACATAAAATTCCAAGGCCTTGATAGTTCGTCACTAAATCATGAAAGTTCAAATCTAACCTTTTCAACCACTCAAATAGAAAGCTGAATTTTTTTCGCTGATAATAACAATCTTCTGAATAATATAATTTTTTGAAAGAAAAAAAAACGAGTTCTTTTTGATTCCTGTGACAAACTTGAGCTTGTCTTTGTCATAGAATGTGCTTCAATGCACTCAATATTAAAAACGTCCCTAGCTTCCCAGAATTTTTTCACCAGTGCTATCCTCGTCCCCCAGCCTAAGAAATACGATAACCATGAGGATTAGGATTACAAAAAGAGTTTTTATGACGCTCACGTGAGCTTGCGCGGCTGCAAAAAAATTTTTGCGAGTGTCATAAGTTAGCATTTTTTATGAGCATGAAACATTCAAAGGCTTAGAAAACAGAAGCATCACTGATCCCTCACATATGACGTTTAGTGACGGCTTCAAAATCTTTGTCGAGAATGAGCGTAAATAACATGGAACAGCAGCTATCAAGAGAAAATGGCTCTATCTGTTGAACTTATGGTGGTCGCCTCATAAGTACTTTCGCTTTTGAATTTTTACCTCAATAAGTCACACACTTCTTATTTCTGAATGCAAAGAAATCAAAACCAAAAAAGTTCGGGTACCGTCTGCGTCAATCACGAAATTCTTCTACCTCTGTATGCTCTTTGGTAATCGAGAAAGACCGAGATTAGCATAGGAAACCCCAAAAAGTTGACATTTTAGTATTCTCGGGCCAAATAAAATCCATCAATACATTTTTGGTACTACTATGCGTTTACTGTATAATGACCAAGTTGGAGGTCCGTAGGAATCTTTTGAAAGAGATCCGATTCTAAGGGTAATCGAAAATTTTTGATTCAAACCTGGATCGAGAGTTGGATGGACCACTGGCGGTCATTTTGTAGAGTTTGCTTCGCTCTATCTGGTACCCTGAGTTGGCTAGGAAAACAAAAACAGCTTGGTTTTTGGAAAAGGAGTTTACTTTTGGGACAACCTTATTTTCGCTTAGGTCTAGAAGCATTTGAAATGTCTTCATATGCTGAATATCAATAAATATTGCACGAGTACCTTCTCCCCCTATGCAAGCGAAAGAGAGTCATGATATCACGTCAGTATTAGCAAATGATTATGAAAACGTCATAATGTCTCGGATTCTCCTGACAGAAGCCCTCTATTCAAAGTCGCACCTTCTATTCTATACCATGACGTTGACACATACATTTATTCCCCTCGCAACATAAAAACATATGGTTTGCATTTCACAAACTTCTCTCTCCATTCTTTCAAGTTTTTACAATGGCTGAGCTGTGTGAATGTGCATTTCATATTGAAAGACTATTTTGAAAGCACGTGATTGACATATTCTTCAATTTCAAGCGTTTTCCATGGAGGACTTGATGTGGCTAACAGACTCAAGCTTCAACAACTTAGAATAGGTACCAAATTTACAAAAAAAGTTCAATAATACTTTCAATATATATAGGGTGTCCGTAAAGTAGTATACACTTTTTGATCTTTAATATCTTTCTTCCCAAGAAGTCTTCTGCCTTGCTTCAGGTACCATTTTGTAGAGCTGGCTTCAACTTAGCTTTACAGTATAAAACAAATTACCCACCTCTCTTCATAAATGTAGGATTACGGTAGAAACTTGAAACATATGGTGTCAATGTGGAAAAAGCTGCTGTCTCAAAATTTTTCAAAAAATTGTGAAAACTTGTGTAATAGGGTTTTTATGGACGCTGAGTTCAACACTTAACTATTCACAAGATTGCGAAGCTTTCTAAACGGTGTAACCGCACTTTTTAGGAACATTGAAAAAATGACCGCTACCTCCTACCTGGCATAACTCTTCAATGAAGCATCATAATAAATTGGAAACTTTACAGTTAAAATCAGCAACTTTAATTAGCCAAGTGTAAAAGTTTTCAGGCTGTTTTGTTTCCTTTCTGGGGCAAAATATGGCCTTTCATTGCTTAAAACCCTCTTTGAAGTTTCTACCGTAATCCTACAGTAATGAAGAGAGATGGGTGAGTCGTTCTATACTGCAAATCTAAGTTGAAGCCAGCTTCACAAAATGGTACCTGAAGCTAGGCAAAAGACTTGTTGGTAGAAAGATATTAACGATCAAACAGTGTATATATACTTTACGGACACCCTGTATATACAGGGTGTCCCAAAAAAATGTTAACACTGTTTGATCGTTAATAACTCGCTTGATTTCATGTCTTTCGGCGAGCTTGAGGCACCATTCTGTAGAGCGAGGTTCAACTTAGATTTGCAGTATGGAGCGAATCACCGTTTGCTCTTCGTTACGGTAGGATTACGGTAGGAAATTTCAGCATGTGGAAGCGTCGTGAAATGTGCCCTCTGACAAAAAATTTTTCAAAAAATCTGAAAAATCGAGTACCAGGGTTTTCGCGCGCACTGATTTTACTACACAATTTTTTACGAGTGTTTTCAGCTTTTTTGACGATGTAATCACATTTTTGACACATGCTGGGAAGTCAGTTATTACACTTTACTTAGCATAACTTTGAAAAAAGTATCATAATAAAATGGAAACTCATATTTGAAATTAGCGGTTTTCATTACCATAATACAAGAGATTTTGGCTTGTTTGGCTCTGTCTCGAAGCAGAAAATGGCCTTTGAGGCCTAAAATCCTTGTCAAAATTTCTACCGTAATGCTACAGTAATGAAGAGCGATCGACGATTCGCTCCATACTGTAAATCTAAGTTTATCATCGCTCTACAAAATGGTACCTAAAGCTCGGCGAAAGACTTGAAAGCAAGGGAGTTATTAGCGATCGAACAGTGTTAACATTTTTTTGGGACACCCTGTATATATCGTCTATAACCAGCACGATAAGGTCAATGCTCATACAGCACTCTGTCTTAAATTCTCAAATGATTGATTGTGATTGATGACAGAAACCCCTTTCAGTCTAATGATACATAGCTTTAATCTTGATTGCAAGCTCTTGGTCAAAGGCTTGGAATTCTTACAGAATCTAAAAATATTCATACCATATAGAGAAATTGTATCTAGAGTGTATCGAATAATGTATACAATTGTGCGCACTGTTCAATCCTCTAATCCCGAGTTTCTTCTTAGAATCTATTAGGTCGTTCCGAAAGTTCTTGCGCACGACTTTCAAAAATGCATAACTCTTTAAATTCTCAACGGATTTGTACGATCAAAATTTCGCTTAAGAGAGAAACTCATGCTCTTTGCAGATGTTCTTTAATTGTTCGTTAATGTGTACAAATGAAGGAGATAGAAGCTCAAAACCAGAATCACTCAAAATTTGGATTTTTCGTGTAGGGTCATAAAAAATCGGAAACTTGCAACAAAAATCGGAGCAGTCAGTATTGTAGGTCCTTTCACCAGCTCTTTCTAGCTGTGCAAAGTTTGCGCTGATTGAGCGTCTCTACGAAAAGTTATGATTTCCCTGAAAAACGCCAAAATAAATCAAATTCGACCTTTTGTATTGCTTGCTCAAAAAACTTAGCAATTCATAGACGCTCAATCGGCGCAA